GCTACCACAGAATAGTTGTTCAAAGCCTTTGTTTTATAGTATCCCTCTGTTTCACATGAGTTGAAAGAATAAGGATTTCATCTCATTTTTGGATACTTCGCGTTCGTTTTTCAACGTAGCCAAACAACCAAGGTTGCTTTATGGTTTGCGGTTACCTGTTTTGTACTTGTGGACAGGCTGCCGTGTTGCCCGAGAATGCGATGACTTCCTGGAGTCATAGGTAGGTCTCCATAAAGTTTTAAGTACGGCATGCCATGGCGAACGTGATCCGTCATAACACAAGTACCACTGGTTAGACACAATCATGGGTGCAGTGGGAACTCCCATTCAAAAAGTGCATGAATCGATTATCAGCGATCTGCAACTCCTGGAAGATTGCGGTCTTCCACAGCCGTCCTTTTGCTCTGTGGATGAGGTTTTTTGACCAAGGGTTTTGGATGGGGTCGCTAACCAAAGCCATAGTTCTACCACAGTAATCGGAGTGATAGAAGTCAGAAACTATAACCTAAATAAGCACCTCATTCGTTATCGGCTTGCATGGTTTCAAAAATTAGTTTCATGCACTCTCGTGAAATGTATTTATCTAAGCCCTTTCCCTGGTTTGAACACAACACCGATGAACCTCAATCACCAAACTGTAAGTCGCCTTTCACGCACGGTACAAAGGGTAAAACATTAGTTCACGATTGGTAGCAGTTTATGCTTGCGCTTTCCTTGACGAGAAACACATCGAAATAGTTAAGTTCATCTCCTTTTGGAGTGGTGTCTCACTTGGCTCCGGACGGGGAAAGCTCAAAATAAGTTTATTATCCTGGAACATATGTGGTAACATCCCACTGGATCTCAAAGGGGCACGAATTGTGCCACAACTCAAGCGGTGTTACTTTACGGTGGTGAATCCCGGTTACTCCGCTATATAGACATTATTCGACTATTCTTCTATCATAAATGCGGAACATTGCGGTGCGTCATGTTAACACCACATTACCAACGAAACAGCTGCCATTCTACAGGTCAAACAGTAACCCAGTCGATGATATCATATCGCGCCGGGTGGAACGAGATACGCGGTGGGCACCTCCGGACGTTGGAGCACGGAATTAGAAACATTGAACGTCGGCTTGTTTCGTACTGGTGGCTCCTGACTTTCGGATTTCGGGCAAAAAGATAAATGTTGTTGCTGGTTGAGGAAAGTAGGAAGTGTGGATTCAGGCAGCGAAGATTGACGTGTTGCTCCCCTCATAAAATCCCTAAATTCAACACAAACAAATCGCAAACAGTAGAAACAACAAACACAGAACTCGTTCTGCACATATTCCCGTTTTTACTCTTTCAGAAAAATTTTAGTTTTCAGTTCTGTCTGGCTCTACTAGTTTTTAGCATCGTGTCCTTTGCCTGCGTTTGCACCGCTGTGTAATTATACTGGCAGGTCTTTCTTGTTCAATCCATTCAGGAACAATTGCTGACTTCATGTTGGTGAAGTGCTTTAAATGCAACTGACCGCAAGAAACGTGATTCGACTGTCTTTTACGAAATATTTCGTATCTGAATGACTCGAGAAAAGTTCCTGGAAGTACAAGACCGATTTTATCTGTTATTAGCATCTAAACCACTTGTGCAACATCGATTCCACAATGATTATAAAATGGGATTGTTAACAAAGGCCTGTGTGAATATACTAAATATACTAAGCGTACAGTTAGAAATTTGTAAAGAAAAATATCACAGATACAAGTAAACCACTGATTAGACAAGTATCACAAGTATCAGGCAGAAATATAGACCCCAATTTACTTCCGTTAGTAATCAAACGTGGTGTACATCCATCGGTTTATGCGAGATTCAAACTCCGGACACCTCTGAGATAAGTTGTATGTTACAATCGTGACAAACAGCTCACATAGAATTAACCAGAACATGGTATGTATGAAAAGATTATCCAAGTGGCGTCCTTTCTCTGCTCATGCTGCAAATCTAAACTTCAGCACGGTAGTATTATTAGTTACAGTATATATATTATACATATAGATGTATATA